ATTAATATAAAGAAAATTCTCACTGTTCTCACATTTCATTTCATATCAGACGCGTTTATACTTTCATTTCAATTCAGATACAGTCACACGATCGCTTACTTTCATACGTTCATGTTCACATAGATTCCACATTCGGTATTGAAATTAACATTACATGTTATTCCACTTAACTTCTTTGATCATGCACAAGGTTTCATTTCAATTCATTTTCAATAAGGACGTGTTCATAATAGTTCATGCACTTAAACATGGTAATGCAATATCCTTTTTTCATTTCTAATACATCCTATAGCTCATATGGACGCGTGTGTGTGGTATAACTCGTGCTCTGATACCACTCTGTCACGACCCAAACTCGCCCTTATAGGTTTAGCATCGTAACCGGCCAGTAATCCTTAGACTACCGAAGGCCTCTGAACAGATTAACAAGATTAAGGGGCTAGCGAAAGCAAATACATAAATATAGTTGTCCAATGAGCTGTGTTGACTTATATGAACAGAATAGTTAAAACTTTATATAAGTATGCAATAGTCATTCATACATTATACCCACACACATTATAGTATCTTAAGTCCAGCCAACAGAATTAAATCAAGTCATATATATATATATATACAGAACCAACAGAACTTGAACACAGGACACTTCGAGAACCTCCACGTGAGGCACAATGGTTGGCTGACAACAGAACATAAGTCCAGACAAAAAGCCTTCAGGCTCGGGCTCCAGAATGCTCACCTATGCATATATATACACACAATGAGCTAAAACCCAGTGAATAATATTAAGGTAAAGGGGTTAGTGAACGAGATCCGAATATATCATAAGTAGAAAACAGACCAGAGCATAATCATTCTCATATCAGAACATAATAATGGTACATCCCATAGAACACATCACAGAATGTCTTCCGACTAGAGTAATCGGTTCCAGATACCGATTAAACACATGTCACCACAATGAAGTGGCTAACGAGATCTCGTAATTACTTGTATGTCATGGACCTGCATTTTCATGACATCCCCCATGACTTGGGACTATCTATGGATGCCATAATAGATTTCAAACATGGAATATTCATTCACGAAAACAGATATCATTTCAGAAATCAGGACTTATCATATTTCATTTGGAACGTAATTCATATGAACGTATCTTTACAATAACGTTACTTACAGTGGTTCCAGTAAGCGGTCAATCAATCCTCGAGTCTTGACCTACAATCACAAAATACGTAACACAAGCATGTCTTATCATTACACATTCAAGTGGCCATTAAGGCTTAGCTTTCATTACATTGGTTCTTATTCTTTCTTATCACATTGCCTAAAACACACACATTTGCAGTCTCGGAACTTAGTACATTCTTTTCTTAGTGTGTTTCTAATTCATAACCTCATTACTATGGCTTAATTAAGGCTTAAGAATGCTTAAGATGCAATGAGGATGCCAAAACATGCCTTGCAACACTTAGGAAATTTTTTTGAAAATAAAGTCCACGCTCGAGCGTAGCTTTCCTCGCTCGAGCGAACATGCAAAATGTGAATGGTCGCTCGAGCGCACATTCTTTCACTCGAGCGATCTGTAAAAGACATGAAACTTTTAGGAGCTTGCAATTCACGCTCGAGCGGACTTTTGGCCGCTCGAGCAGAGTGCAGGCACTCAGATTGGTCGCTCGAGCGTAGATGCAAATTCTGAAATTTTCAGATTGCACCTTTAAGCTCAAAACTCGACTTTCAACCTTCAAAACACATCTCTTAGGCCCCAAAACTTGAGATAACATAGTAAACTTGTAAAACATGAAGAATTACGGATTATTTCATAAAATCATGGCCCAAGAGTTTGTTAAAAACTCACAATTTCAACTTAGAACATGATGAATGTTCATGAACACAACATGCATGGGTTTTCTTGGTCTTGAGTTTCCCAAAACATGATCAAACACCACAAAACAACTTGAAACTTGATGATTTCCCTAAATGAAGATGAATTTCAAACATGCAAGAGAGGATTCATGGAAATCAAGCTCAATTTGTAAGAAAATGTACATGCATGCATGAATTGCCACTCAAATCTTCCTTCTAAGCTCAATACACACCCTTAAACACATAATCTTCATGTTGATAACTTAGATTCATAATTTAGGGGTTGAATTCATACTTATAGTCTTGAATTAATCTAGCTCTAGCTTAGTTTTGATGAATCTAAGCCAAGGTTTTCAATTCTCCTTCAATTCCTTCATCTCTCTCTCTAGAATTGCACACACACTCTCTCTCTCTCTAAAAGAAAACCTCAGATTTTACATTAAGGGGAGCAAAGAATTGAGCTCAAAAATGAGTTAAGGCTCATATATATATATTTATGGTGCTAAAACACATTAATTAGACTATTAGACTAACCAAACATGACTTAATTAATCGTTCTGAATCAATTTTTTAATAAAACTTGCCATATGGCTCTAAAAATTCTAAATAACATATCGGTGTAGTCAACTTCGGTTTCGGATGCCGATAAGGCTTTCAATTTACATATTAAAGTGGAATTCCAAACAGATATTCTATAAGTAACAGATAGAAGGCCAAATATCATGCAATTTACATATTAATCCCATAATTCATTTGATCCACTCAATTAGCATCTTTAGTCATTGATTAGTAGTTAATTACGGGTCGGGGTTATTACATCTGTTTTTTCTTTTCTTTTGTTGCGTGGTTGGTTGCTCACCAACTCATTGTCATGTTAGCAAATGATTGGGTTTGCTCAATAGTGTCAACCTAGTTAAGATCGTTTTGCTTCGCTATGATGCTCTGTGCATGCAACAACTTTATTAATGTAATTCCTTCTTTCAATCAATAAAGCTTCCTCTTGCTGATATATATATATTAAAAAAATTAATTTTTTTTTTTTTTGTCTAAGTTCCTTGAAAATAGTAGATTATTTAAGTAATAATAATATAACAATAACACTAACACAAATAAAATAATAAATAAATAATTTGTGGATGCGTATGATGGATACAAAGTTCAAAAAAATTTGCAAAGCAATACAATTAGTCTTAAGATTATCAATCTATGTGGGTTGTGTACATTATCTCATGTTTAGATTAACTTAGGATTATGAGGAGGAATAGACTAAATTAATTGTCATAATTATTTTAAATTCCACTTCTTTACACACACACACACACACACAAGACAAAACAAGATGTTCAACTTTAACCTACTAGGGCAAAACATGAAAACAGACATCACAACTTTAACCTACTAGGGCAAAACATGAAAACAGACATCACAAGAAATAAAATGTGTGTCCGAGAGACTAGGGCAAAACATGAAAACAGACATCACATAAAAATCAACAAAAACACAACCACCCGCGTCTTTATTAGAGGTTTGTTGAAGAAAAATTGAAGTTTGAAAGATCAAATAATTACTTGAGTGACTTTATGGTAAAGAAAGGCTATTGTCATAGCAGGGAGGTTATTCACTAGAACACGAGGTTGAAATTTATTTTGAATGTGAGTCCCTTTGTGACTGGATTCAATCTCAATCTTCCATTATATTTTCTGTCAATCATTTTCTGATTTGTTCTATGTTCCTGACAGTGTTGTTTAGAAGTGTGAAAGAATCGGTTGAAATATTATAATGCATTTCACCAATTAGAAGAAAGTCCGCATTGGTAGGCGTAGATATTTAGAAATTTCTCCTCATAAATGTTAGTTTTGCATTATCCGTCAAATGATATATAATGTCGGGGATAAATTATATTTTTTACCTTTTAAGTCTCACTTAAATTTTATTTTAATTCCTTACCTTTTAATTGTAAGTTCATAAACTTTAATCCGAGTATCAATTTAATCCTTCTGCCACCTCACACCAAAGTAGAATATGAGTGGAAGTTGGGTGGTGGAAATGTAATTTTGTGAGAGTTACATTAAAGAAAAAAAGTTAGGGATCATGAAATTTTTTTCATGAAAATAATCATTAAAGAGTTATGATCTTTGAATTACCTTGATTAGTGTATGATACTTTATTCTAAGTATAATCCAAGGGCCACAAAACTTTTATGATTGTGTTCATGAAAGGTTTTTCATGATACCTAACATTGTTATACATTAAAACAATGACTAAAGTCTACAGACTTAATTGTTTAAGTTTGAAGATGAGTGGGCAACGTAAAATTTAAATGGAAGTTTAAAATTAAAGAGTGTATTTTTCTTTAATATCAAATTGGGGGAATGGCTATTTGCACTCCTAAAAGAGTGCATATCATTTGCCCCTCGCAACATCGCAAAAATTTGCAATTTTTATTACAAAACGATATAATTTTTCACACTACAAAAAGTATTAACATTGTGTTCACTAAAAAAATAAAATAAATAATAAAAAAAAAAAGAATACAACTTTTATTACAAAGTGGCATAATTTCGTCATTTATAACTTTAAGGTGCAAATTATAAATTTGTCATTTATAAATTTTACTACAAAGTAGCATAACATCATAAAAAATCATAAATTTTACTCCCAAAAAAAAAAAAAAAAAACACAGAACCTTCTTACGGGGTGCCCTTTTATAAATTTGTTATTATGTAGAATAATATTCACTACAAAAAATTATGACTTTCGCCAGTAAATAAATAAATAAAAATCTCAAGATGTGCTCATTTTTTTCCGATAACGGTCCCTGTTGGTTGATTGGTTGACCTGATGGACTTCACTTTTTGGCCAGATGTCCCCTTGACAAGGGTTACCAATTTTTTCAAGGGCAAATTACATATACACCCCTCGAGGTTTGGCTAAATTACAGATGCCCCTGAGGTTTCAGAAATTACGAATTCCCCCCTGAATGCTATATTTGCATAAGAAATTAGGGGGTAATTTGTTATGAAATATAAACCTCAGGGGGCAAATTGTTATGAAAATACAAACCTCAGGGGGCGGGATGTAATTTCTGAAACCTCAGGGGTATCTGTAATTTAGCCAAACCTCGAGGGGTGTATATGTAATTTGCCCTTTTTTCAACAATGAAATTTAAATCAATATATAGGATTGTCTTACAACAAAGAAAAACTAACCCATCCATCTTCACAGGGAAGAAGCTTTCCTACTTTTTTAAATGCCTACCACTACATTATCAGTTTCTTTTCTGATACTTCTCTATCTATACTTGAAATTCATGGCTTTAGCTGAAGATGAAAACCAGTTCATCTACAATGGCTTCCATGGAGCCAATCTTCACCTTGATGGGGATGCACAAATCCATCGCAATGGTTTATTGCAACTAACCAACACTTCCGTCAGACAAAGCGGCCACGCTTTTTACCCACTTCCAATAAGATTCAATGCATCCTCATCCAGGTTACCCCAAGGCCTTTCGTTTTCCACAAATTTTATATTTGCCATGGTTTATGAGATAGAGAATTATAGTGGTCATGGAATTGCCTTTACCATCTCACCATCTACAAACTTCACCAAAGCTTCACCAGCCCAATTTTTGGGACTCCTTAATTCTAACTGTAAAATAAATTGATGTATATTATTAATTAATGTGTTACAAGATTGTTGTCTATATTTTGTAGATTACAAGCTATTATATAGGAGAGGATTAGGGAGTAGGTGAGGTAGGTGAGTGGTGGTAGTGGATGGTAGTGGAGGTGGTGGGTGGTAGTGGAGATGGTAGGTGGAGTTGGTGGTGGGGTAATTTACACAATTTACAATTTACATTAACACTAACAACAACGGCAACACTTCAAACCATCTATTGGCAATTGAGCTTGATACTGTTAACACCACAGAATTCAATGATATAAATGACAATCATGTTGGAATTGATGTTAACAGCTTAGAGTCTATTGTATCAGCACCTGCTTCATATTATTCGAATAGTGAAGGAAAAAACAAGAGTTTGGAGCTCATAAGTGGGGATCCAATGCAAGTTTGGATAGACTATGATGAAGTGGAGAATCTACTCAATGTAACACTAGCTCCTATCCAAAGCCAGAAACCAAATCAACCTCTCTTGTCAACACACATCAATCTTTCTTCAATTCTTTTGAATTCTATGTATGTTGGTTTCTCTTCTGCTACTGGCATGTTTAGAGGTAACCACTATATTCTTGGGTGGAGCTTTAACAAAAGTGGGCAAGCACAAAACTTAGACCTTTCGAAGCTTCCTTCACTCCCCTCAAAAAGAAAACCAAGACAGATTCCACGTCTAGAAATTACAGTTTCATTGATAACGGTATCCATTGTGTTGATTGTTGTAATATTGGGAACTGTATGCTTTGTGTGGAGAAAAAAATATGAAGAAATACGTGAAGATTGGGAACAAGAATACGGCCCTCAAAGATTTTTCTACAAGGATCTCTACAAAGCTACCAAAGGTTTCAACGATGAAGAGCTTCTTGGAAGAGGAGGTTTTGGAAAGGTTTATAAAGGAGTACTTCCCTCCTCCAAGGAGCAAGTTGCAATCAAGAAAATCTCCCACGATTCAAAACAAGGGGTGAAGGAGTTTGTGGCCGAAATTGCTAGCATGGGAAGGTTAAGGCATAGGAATTTGGTGCAGCTCCTTGGCTATTGCCGACGTAAGGGAGAGCTTATCTTGGTCTATGATTACATGCCCAACGGAAACCTTGACAAGTTCCTATTTAGCAATGAAAAACCAAGCCTCAATTGGGCTCAACGTTATCGAATCCTCAGAGGAGTAGCATCTGCCCTTCAATATTTGCATGAAGAATGGGAGCAAGTTGTTCTTCATAGAGACGTGAAGGCTAGCAATGTTTTACTGGATGCTGAACTAAATGGACGGCTAGGAGATTTTGGGCTTGCTAGGTTGTATGATCATGGGGCAAATACAGAAACTACGAATGTGGTTGGCACTGTTGGCTATCTTGCACCAGAGCTTGCAAGAAGCGGAAAGGCAACTACAGGTTCCGATGTGTTTGCTTTTGGTGCATTCATGCTCGAAGTGGCTTGTGGAAGAAGACCCATAATGTTACAAGGATTGCCTGAAGAAATAATTTTGGTTGATTGGGTTTTTGAGAAGTGGAAACAAGGATCAATTCTTGAGACAAGTGATACTAGATTGGGAGGTGATTATTTGGAAGAGGAAATGTTGTTGGTTTTGAAGTTAGGTATGCTTTGCTCACAGTATAATGAAGCGGCAAGGCCTAGCATGAGGCAAGTAATGCAATACCTGGACGGAAATGTCTTGTTGCCAGATATTCCTCTTCATACTACAGGTACGGGTACATTTAGTGTGACTAATGAACCATCGTCTGAATTTGTTGCATCATTTCCTTCATCTGTTTCAAAATCTTCTGTTCAGTTGATGTCTATCACTGAGTCCGTACTCAATTCCGGTCGTTGAATTTGGAAATCATGGCTTGGAAATGCTAGAACATGGTTTGAATGTTTGACTAATAAAAATCATGTTGTTATTGTGTAAAAAAGACATATGTCCAGTAGTATTAATTATTAGCTCCTCACATGAAGAGATGGGAAGATTGTAAGTATCTTTTTTTCTTGCATTAGTCGTTCAAACTAGCTTAGTTATTACTTACATTTCTCTAGTTTCTTGTTTAGTTATTAAACACTGCAAACCTCAACAATGAACCAAGGCACAATTATCCTAGTTTCTCTAGTTTCTTGTTTAGTTATTACTTATATTTGGGTACATACTCATCATGTACCCAAAATATTTCGTATATCCGTACCGAATAAGTACCCAGTAATTGTATGATAATATTTTTGGAGTACTCATACTTTATAGATTGTCCATCACGTTTCTGACAAAAATAACAATGATTAGGCTTTGAAACTCGTTATCAGACTTGAGTAGTCGCACTTTATTGTTCAAAAAGATTGGTTTGATTTTTTTTTTTATTATTATTTTTCTTTTGTATTTGAATTGTTTGAAATTCTTTCAAATTGAACTTGGTTATCAAGATCATTTCAAAACTTCCAAAGCAAAAGATATTCAATTTTGCAAATTCTTTTAGGATGTAAAATTTAGTGGAGTCGATTTACAACATTTAGATATTGTGAGATTAGCAGAAGTACGTATATCTTTCTTGGTTTATACTAAATCTTGCGTATTGAAGAAGACAATAAAAAATGAAAAACTTTTCATGGTTCAATCTAAATTAAGAAAAACTTCTAATTATTGAAGAAGACTCAAAAATGGAAAACTTGAAGTTGATCAGTAGAACAAAATCAAACATGAGATGAATGCTTTGAATTTTCTACTTTGGAAATAGCTGATTTTTTATGAACAATCCACTGTCAAAGAAACTGCTAAAGACGATTATTGAAAATAAAATGATATATAATTTCCACTGTCAAAGAAACTGCTAAAGACGATTATTGAAAATAAAATGATATATAATTTCACTTTGTGAACCATTTTTTTAAGATTTAATGACGGATAAGTGATATGATTAGTTGATAATTAAAAAATATTTAAGAAAAATATTATCTTTAATATTCTAATTGATTGTCACGTCATTGAGTTTGAAAATTAAATCTAATTTTTTTATCTTAAATATTAATGCTCTTGCTGAAAATATTGCAGCAACAAAACTTAGTTTAATCTTACATTGGAGTCATATATATGGTAGAGAGGTATAGTGTCAATAGATTTATATTTATTATAAAAATAAAAAGCAAATTACGACTATAGTCCTTATAGTTTGGTTCTTATGTTATTCTGATCTTTGTAATTTTAATTTACTCAATTTTAATCTTGAATTTATAATTTTGCTTCAATTTAGTCCAATTTATTATAACTCTTAATATTTTCTTTTATAAAAAAATACGCATATAAATGGTATGTGTCATATTTTTAAGAGTAAAATTATAAATTTACTCAACTCAGTGAGTTAACCTCACCTAATTCAGTGATTATTTTCTATCAAAAACATTAATAGCATAATTAATTCGATCAAATTGATACAAAATTTAAAATTAAGAGTCCAAATTAAGCAAATTAAAAGTGTAGGGACTAAAATGATACAAGAGATAAAATGTAAAGATCATCAGTGTATTTTTTCCTTAAAAAAATCATTTAATAAAGACCTTAAATCTACCATTTTGAGTACTAGTGTTGTTTGTTGCAATTTAAATAAGATAATTATGAGTTATTTAATTATTTATTCACTACATAAACAATGTTAGGTATTATGAAAACTATTTCATATAAATGATAATGAAAAAAAAATTATCCTTAAATTATTTATGTAAAATATTTTATAAAAAAAAAAATCGTGAAAGAATCGAGTGTCGCAGTCATAAAATTTTTAAGGCTTCGTTTGGAAAGAATGGTTGGATTGGGTTGGGTTTGGGACTATTTTAGCCACAAAAGGATAAAGGAGTATTTTGAAAAGATGGTTAAAAGCTGCTCTTTAACTTTTTTGTGAGAGAGGGAAGTGGGTTAAAAGCTAGGGAGTGGCTTTTAACCCACTTCTCAAAATAGCCCAAAATAGGTCTTTTAGTCCAATAAGACAAAACATCACATTCAACATATAATTATTACATTCTTTTTCTTACAAAAAGTTAAAAAAAGTCAAAAGATCTTAACTAAACAAGACTTCTTAATCCTAAATTAAAATAGCCAAAAAAAATCAAACAACTGACTAACTTCCCAAACTAAGGTAAAGGCATGACAACCTACAAAATAGAATTTGATAATGGCCCAATTAGCGGACCGTTGATCCATGCCGGCCCAACCCTCAACAAGGCCTAAAGGACAAACTCAATACGAGGCTTTTTTATTTTTAACTAACTTTTTTGCATTTATTTTTATGCAAATTTTATTTTTCTACTTTTAAAATAATTTTTTTGGAGTTTATTCACAACATTTATTATAGAGACCTTTAGCCAGAATATTTTTTTGTGGTGCATCTGTACGAGAAAACTTTTTCTATACATTTACAGAAGATATATATGTATATATGAGTAATTTTAATATGTACATTCTTAAAGGAGATGCACCATATGCATTTTTGATTATATCTTTTTCTTATTTAATTATAATTAATTTTTTTTATTATTTTAGTTATGATTCATGAGATTTTTAGTCATACCTCATGTTATAATTAGTTATGATATTTTACTTTTTTAATTATAACTCAAAACGTATTAAATTATATCATTTTTTTTAGTTATGAGATGTATATGGTACATACATTTTAAGAGATGTGTACCATAATGTTTTCCTATGTATATATATATTTTAAACACTTACTATTGGGTCTTTAATCAAAAAATAATTATATTATAGTCCTTTGGATAAAGGGATTTCTTAGGAACATTTAGGCCAAGTTTGGGATGTTCCAAAAAAGTCAAAAAGTCAAAAAGTTACTCAAAAAGTTAAAAAGTTAACACTATTCACCAAAAGTAAAATTTTGAATTTTGCTTATTTTGAAAAGTGATTTTAATTTAAATAGGTCCCTACGAATCAATTTTTTCATTTTTTTATTACACATTTTTCAATAAAAAGTCAAAAAGTTAACCCAAACATCCATATTTTCAACCTCAATTTTTTAGTCCAAAAAGACAAAAAGTACACTTATTTAGTCTTCCCAAACTTAGCCAAATATGTTTCAACATTTATAGTTAAGGATTTTTGACAATGATGTTTATTTTATTTTTTTTCTTTTTATATGTCGAAAAAAGAACTTAAAAAGTTGTCAGAAAATAAAAGTGAATCAGATTTATATTAAGGGATGGTTTGAAATGATCTAAATATGAGTTAGGTATGAGTTAAATTTGAATTAAATAAAATGATGTGATTTAAATATGATAATAATTTTTTAATTTTTTAACATTTTTAAGTTATAACAAATAAGGCCTAAGTGCGCTTCATATCATACTAAAATTAAATTTGTATTATATATTTTATTTTTTAACCTAGTTTTAAACCAAAAGACGCTTAAATAAATAAACAAATAATCAGAAGTCAATCCACTACAAAATCAAAATGATGGATTGAATCTTCCATTTCCAAACCAGGCTTACCGTCTTGAAAAGGTTTTATACACTTAGACCAAGTTTGGAAAGTCTCAAAAAAAATTAAAAAGTTAAAATTACTCAAAAAATTAAAAAGTTATCACTATTCACCAAAAGTCAACAATTACGGTTGTACAACTCCCAATACTAATTTTCCCCTACACATTAATTTATACAATTTTTTAATACACATTTTTTCATAAAAAATCAAAAAGTTAACCCAAAGATTCATATTTTTAACCTCAACTTTTTAGTCTAAAAAGACAAAAAGTGCACTTATTTAAGATACCTCAAACAACCCCTTATTATTTAAGATATGAGTCGTACTAATAAGTGTCTTTGAGATATAAGATGGAAAACATTATAAATTCTAAATTTTTTATCAAATAAATAATTAAGAGGTTTTTTGGCAAGGTAGTTAAAAGTTAATTTTTAGCTTAACCTATTTTGGGTCATATCACCTCTCACATCTTTTACTCACAAAAATAAAAATAAAAAAAACTAAAAAGTCAACTTTTAACCAATTCTCCGAATTGCCCCCAAATGTCTCACATGGGTGTAGATTCCATATTTTTGTGAACCCCACACCCATATCAGATATTTAATCATTTATTTGGTAAAAAATTTGATATATCTAGCATTATCCATATAAAAATACATGATCTTTTTGTATTCAAATTTAAATTACTGTACACTGAATTCAATACATTTTTTTTTGAAAGTATTATTATACTTTTCACCTAAATTCTAATTCTAATACTAAACAATATTACAACATTGCCTCTATATTTTGTGAATATTTGTAAAATGTGTAAATGGATAGCCTCTAATTTTATAAAATTTACTTTAGTGACTCTATTTTATTAATAGTATTTCACAATGTATAATGGGATAATCTCCTACTGTTTCATATGTCAATTATAGTAGCATCAATTTCATCAAATCAATTTTATCTATACATTGGGTACATATTACATTTTTTATTTAAAAAATCAAAAGAAGTATGTATATTTTTTATTTACTAGATTATGTTAACTAACAAAATGATTTTAACGAATGATCTAATGAATTATATGGTGAGATCTAATTACTAATTCTAAATTTAGAAAATAAGAAATAAATTGACTAGTTAGATTTATTTATATTTGTCATTAAATACTTCTTCCAGAACTCTTACATAAAAGAAAAATATTCAGTTAATAACATATCAAAATTAACTCAATTTTGTTATGCAAATATTCGCCCCTTGGCAAAAAAAATATGTAGAATTTCAACACAAAAGTGATGAGTCCTATTGTTTAGACTAATGGTCATCTTTGTTTGGCCTCTTAGAAGAGGGGATTGGATTAACAATCCATGAAACTCATCAAAAGCATTTTTGGTTGAGCTAAAATGTTATAGGACTATTAGGTTAATTGGATTACCAATCCTCCCAAAGGGTGGGATTAATATACCTATAGCAGAGTTAGGATTGGTAATCCAATCCCCTTAAATTAAAATAAGTT